TTCCAGTCCTTTTCCTTGTACATTACCTTGGTCAGCCAGCATATTTTTAACAGGCTTAGTAGTAAGGACCACTCCCATGGCCTGAATCACATCTCTCCCCCAAGAATTAACAGGGATATGACTTAACACAAAAGGCTGAAAAAGTCCTGTATGTCCTTCATCATCTGACCATTTAAGAAACTGAGTACTACATTCTGAAGCCACAGCAGTTCCCACTCCTTGTAAATGAGTGGAGGCCAGCTGAAGAGGCCATGCTTGTGGCCAATGGTTTTCTTTTTTTTCTTTTGCTATTATTGAGGAGTCCACCCCCATGTTCCCAATTCCAGAAAATCGTCTACCTTGTATGGTAAGGGTAAGCATGGGGCGCTGTTCAAGACTTGATACCCAAAAGGACCCATGGAGCCTGTGAACCCAAAACCAGCAGATTCACTGGTATCCTTTAAAAAGGGATTGTTGGTTTTGAACATAGGGAGAAGAACCAATTGTGCTATCCGAGTGCCCTGTGGTATCATTAATATCCCCATTTCTGCCCTAACCATGATTTTTATTTCTCCTTGAAAATCTGAATCTACTACTCCTAGAATAACGCTAATTCCTTTCAACAAGGCACTACTGCATCCTAACAATAGTTCATTGCTCCAGGGGGAAGAGGCCCAAAGACTCCTGTGATTAAGGCTTGAGTGCCCATTTGTGGTGTTAATATTGCTCAGGTGTCGAAACAGGTCCAATCCTGCACTTTCTGGGGTACTTCTAATAAGGCTCTGGACATAAAGGGGTTTCTCTGAGGGATCATCTTTATTGGGCAGGTTACAGGTTTATTCATTGCCCCCTACACCTGGGCCTGAGGGGCCTGAGGCTGGCCCTGCTTCCAGTTTCCCTGAGCCGGCAAAGGATTACCAAGGGCATCTGCTTTTGACCTACATTCCTTGCTCCTGTTGCAGTAAGGGTCACCATTGGAGCAGTTCCTTTTGAAATGTCCTGGTTGTCCATATCCAGAGCAAGTCTTTGGCCTGGCTCCTCCATTGTTCCCACCTCCTTTCATGACTGGATGTATAATCTGGCCCATAATGTAATGACCATCTATGTTCCTACATATGCATATATAGTCAATTAAGACTTTTGGCCTTAGGGAGACATAGAGCCTCTTTACAACACTAGTTTACATTTTAGAATGCCAATTGTTTAACTATGGGCATGGCATTTTCAACATCACCAAAAATGCGACCTGCCAGCTGTAGGAGGCGGTCTGCAAATTCTGAATAGGGCTCAGACGGTCCCTGCAATAACTTAGATAGTTGATCCCCTGAAGCCTTATTAGGCAGGGCTTTCCAAGCTCTAGTAGCAGCAACAGCAATTTGTGCATAGACTGCTGGGTCAAAAAGAATTTGAGCTGCAACAGTAGCATATTGCCCAGTGCCTGTGAGCATGTCTAAGTTCCTAGCAGAAAACCCAACAGTAGCATTGCATTGAATTGGGTGGTTTCCTTGCAAAATTCTTGAAATTCGCCTCTCCAGAGCTACTCAGCGTGGCTCTACAGAGCTGCATCCAATCACTAGGGGTACAATTTAACGCTGTGAAAGACTAAAAATTAGTCTGAGTAAAAGGAACATGGGGCCCATAAGCAGTGGCAGCCTCTTTAAGCTGTTTTGTATCCTTAAAATTTAATGGGCTGTGCTCCCTAACCCTGTTATCCTGAGGATCCACTGTTTCAGTCACTGGAAACACTTGTCTTTCCTTCTCTAATGCTTCTATCTTGATTACTAAATCTTTGACCTCTTCTTCTAACCCTGGAGGTGCAGGGCCCTACTAAAGGGATCACAAAAGGGGTTGTGCCATGACGGATGGCATATGCACTCATCAGTTTCAGTTTCTGATTCCAAAGTATCCTCTTCATAAGTTATGGTAGGACTATCATCTCCTAGTTGGGATCCCTTCTCATTCCCTGATAGATTGAAGATTCTAAATCTTGTACTTCCTCAAAAGTCCTATTCATCTCTGCCATTTTTTTCTTTTACTTTATGGCAATGAATTCTTTAGCTGTCTTGTTTTAATCCTGGTGCCATGTCTTTTCAATAGGGCCACTAATTGCCCACTGAACATTTCCTTATAGTTACTGGCATCTATCCTTCAATACAACCTCATTCACTTACTTTGCTGTCCAGCCTCCAAGGGTGATCTCTTAGGTTATCCTTTATCTCCCGATCTCGGTGGGACCTCCACTTGTAGCGCCCATGCTACAATCTTTTCCACAAATTGGGCGAAGGCCTAGAGATTGAAATAGAGAGACAAGACAATGGGTCATTCATTCAATGGCAATGTCGGAACGCCAACTGCTGAATGCCGTTTATTGAGGGGATGGAATGGGCTTATATACTGACTTACAGCACAGTGGAAAATTACAGGAATTTTAGGCTTAGCTCCTCCCCACCAGGTGTGTGTTAGCAAAACAGGAAGAGTACCAACAACAGGTTTGGGGTAAGGAGTTCCAGCCAACAGCTTCAGGCTTGCTCAAGGTGTCTCGGGGGTCCATGCAGGGCCCTACATAAACCGATAAAAATGGCTGTTATCACAATATATATTCCTTTTTCTATCTTATCTTAATGAGGGCAAAAACTAAGGAGTTCTCCATTGTATAGGTGTGAGGCCCAAGGAGCTAAAGGATACACCACCAAGAGATTCAGAATCACACTCCAGAGACCTGCACCTGGTAGTTTACCCTTGAGGACAGAAATGCCTCCAGGTCCCCTAGGACCCAGACAGAGCTGTCTGGAGAGCAGGCTCTACAATGACACTGGAGTTGTCTTTAGTAAGTGAGTTGGGAAATGATCTGTAAGGAAACTTTATAGCCCTAAGAAATCCCTGTCCTTTTTTGATTCAAGGAAGCAGAAATTGAGTCATATACTAGCTGTTCTCAAAGAAAACTAGACTGAGTGGATGCCAGCTTTTCCTGACCATGTCAGTCAGAAAAGGTCTCTGTCAGATCTTCACTGAGAATATTACACTAGAGGAGAAAACTTGATAATCTAAAGATGCTTCATATTGATACACACTGTGACAGGTGAGGACCTGGATGGGATAAGATTTACCTTCACCAATGCTCAAATGTACACCCACACACCCATACACACACACACACACACACACACACACACACACACCTCCCCCCTTCCCCAAATAGGCTATCATTTTACTGGTATGCAACCAAAGTCTATTCTTAACATTAGAAGCTTCTTATGAACCACCAAGCAAAGAGAAAACTGAAAGATGAAGAATATTCTTAAGGCCACACCTTTACAAAGGCTGTGGAATACCATCTTACACTGAATCCCAAAACAATAGACAAAGCTGATTGCAGAAGAGAAAAAAAAAAAAAAAAGGACCCAAAAATCTTTGTTTTCTTTCCAGCTGGTGATAATCAAGTAACAGAGAGATGTAATAAAATAGTAGGTGTGAAGAAGAAAGAAGGTCTTAAATACCAATCCCCAGATTGCCACAGGGAGATACAAAAAAGGGTGGGAGAAAGAGATAAAGGGGAGAGTTTGGGCATCTTAAAGTAGCCACAAGAGTGGGTTATGACTGCCCTCAGCCCATGCTCCCAAAGCTCCCAAATAGAGAAAAGTTCAAAGATGTTTTCAGTGTGTGTGTGTGTGTGATTGTGTGTTTGTGCATGTATTAGGAGAAGAGGGGGAGTGATGATGAAGATTTCCACCTCTGTTCTAATGCACCAACTTAAAGAGCTTTTCAAATACTCCCATGGCTTGGTGTTTCTTGCTATTCCTCTTATGTTGATCGTTTTCTCTTATGTTTGCATTTCCTGGGCTGTGTTGGGCATCCCTTCTCCTGGAGGGCATTGGAAAGCCTTCTCTACTTGTGGCTCTTATCTTACAGTTATTCTACTCTTCTATAGATCTCTGATGGGTGTGCATTTACTTCCGCCATCAACTCACTCTGCAGAGAGGGAAAGCAGGGTTGCCATTCTCTACATGATTGTCATTCCCATGTTGAACCTATTCATCTACAGCTTGGGGAAAAGAGACATGAAGAAGGAATTGAGCAAAATTTAGGTGGAGGAAAAGCAGTCTTCTTACTATAACTCTAATGTTTAATCCTAATGCTATTATCAAACCCCTGAGCTAAAAATGGAAAAATAGGCTATGATGTGAAATGAGGTTTTATGATTTGATCTTTCTTAGCTTCAGTATGACAGCTACTGTTGACAATAGAACACCATCCCTGATCCTCAGCTTTAAAACCAGCATATCAGCTGTGATGGACTGAGTCCGTATGCTGTTTATTCTGCAGTCATTGAGGCAAGCATGCAATGAAATGAAGGGACAAGGAATCAAACATCTGTTGGTTGTCTGCACTATCACTCATCAGGTATTTGAAAGAAGGTGTAAACCTATAGGATGTAAGTAAGTTTCCAAAACCAGGTAAATTTGATTCCAGAACCTGTGACTTCTATTTTGCCACACCATGCTGACCATGACAAAGAAGGTTTTGGAAGAACAGCCTAAGGATAGTATTGAGCAATGACCATTAGAGACAAATATCAATGTAATACACTATGCTATCTCCTCACTGTTCATTTCATTACAGTTTGTTAATGTCATAGATATTTTGAAAGAAAACTGTTCTTAAGTGTCTACATTGTGCCAATTTTGAAATTGATTATACATGATTCATTCTCTGGGGTTTTACATGAAATGTTTCTTAAAATTCTAAGAAACTCAAATAGGCTGAAAATTTTGAGAACAATGATTGTATCAAAACTAGTCTGGTGGGAATTGGGATTATAAAAAGTCAGAGAGCTTTTACAGTCATAATATTTTTTAGTAAATAATAATAAAACTTTCCATAAAGAGCCTTTATATAGTTTATTACATGGGCATATCTGTCATTTTGAGTTGTCATTGAAGTAAATTCTAATGGGATTTTAATTTTAAATACCATTTGTTTTCTCTTTGAATATAGCAAAAAAATTATAATCCTAGGCAGCTGTGCCAGAGCCGCGAGGAGACCAGCCGCCCGACTTCTCCCCCCTCGCCGGCCGCTGAGTCCTCGGAGTTGTTCCAACAATCTGTTAAAACATGGTGGATTACTATGAAGTTCTGGGCGTGCAGAGACATGCCTCACCTGAGGACATTAAAAAGGCGTATCGGAAACAGGCACTTAAATGGCATCCGGACAAAAATCCTGAAAACAAAGAAGAGGCAGAGCGGAAGTTCAAACAAGTAGCTGAGGCATATGAGGTGTTATCAGATGCAAAATAAAAACTGGACATCTATGACAAATACGGCAAAGAAGGATTAAATGGTGGTGGAGGAGGAGGTGGAAGTCATTTTGATAGTCCGTTTGAATTTGGCTTCACATTCCGGAATCCAGATGATGTCTTCAGGGAATTTTTTGGTGGGAGGGACCCTTTTTCATTTGACTTCTTTGAAGACCCATTTGATGACTTTTTTGGGAACAGACGGGGTTCCCGAGGAAATAGAAGCCGTGGTGCAGGCTTGTTTTTCTCTGCCTTCAGTGGATTTCCTTCTTTTGGAGGTGGATTTCCTGCTTTTGATACAGGATTCACTTCGTTCGGGTCACTAGGGCACGGGGGTCTCACTTCGTTCTCTTCAGCATCATTTGGTGGCAGTGGAATGGGCAACTTCAAATCAATATCAACTTCTACTAAGATAGTTAATGGCAAAAAAAAATCACTACAAAGAGAATTGTGGAGAATGGTCAAGAAAGAGTAGAAGTTGAAGATGGACAGTTAAAGTCCTTGACGATAAATGGTGTGGCCGACGAGAACGCTCTTGCAGAAGAATGCCAGCGGAGAGGCCAACATATACCAGCTCTGGCCCATGGCCCGGCCCCACCAACGGCCGGGGCCCCCTCCCCGGCCCGGCCCCCGGCCCCACCAACAGCCCAGACTCAGGCCTCTTCTGTCAGCACCCGCCCACAGAAGCCACCCAGGCCTGCCCCGATGGCCAAACTTGTGTCTAAAAGCAACTGGGAAGATGAAGAGCAGGACAGGCAGCGGGTTCCTGGCAACTGGGATGCCCCCATGACCTCAGCAGGGCTCAAGGAAGGTGGCAAGAGGAAGAAGCAGAAGCAGAAAGAGGACTCGAAGAACAAGAAGAAGTCGACCAAAGGGAACCACTAGGCTGGACTTGGCGGCAGCCGCAGCAGCCGCTCTGGTGTGCGGTGCGCACGCGCACGGCAGCAGCATCCTTTCGGTGACGCCCAGGGCTACTTCGCTTAGCAGGATTATGGACATGTGCCCATGGATCGGTAGGATCAGGGGAGTTGGAGATGGAGGCGACAATCCCGGGTGGCCTGTATAGTATAAGCTTGTGACACAGCCTTAGCCTTGTAACTCTGCTTTTCCCCAACACTAAACCTGTAACGTTTTCCTCTTGAGTTGTAAGGATCTGCCTCATTCTTTTCAGCAGTCCAAGCCCTGCTCCCAGCACCGCGGTATTTGTTAGCTGTAGGAGTCCAGTAGGGTCCATAGGGAGCTGGATATGTGTTCATTGTTCATGACTGTCTCCTGGCGGCGGTACAGTGTGCAGTTTTAGAACAGCGGAACAGGTAATGTAAGCTGCGTTTGAGCCATAGGTGTTAGGGTACTTTCGATTCGGTACTCTGGCAACACATAGGCCATTGTGAGCCACTTCAGCCACTTCAGACGTAGAGGCTGCTTATATCTATTGTTCAACTCTTAATCTTCTCCAGGTAGACAAAATTTGATACCAAATGTAGTTTAGTTTTTGGGAAATCTCATCTTTTCTTCTTGGAGGAATATTTGTCTTTCCTTCAGTCAAAAGGTTTTACTTAGCAATATCATTTCTAGCTTTCGTAGGCCAGTGCCACCTGGCTGTTTACACAAACACACAGCACACACAGGTGCGTGCAGAATTAATCAGCTATCCAGCAAGAAGCTTGACCTCGGTTCTTCAGATTGCAAGCATGGCCCTTTACAAGCATCTTGCCACAAACCCATGCTCTGCCGCCACCTAACCTGCCGTTCGCACTGAGCACTGAGTGGTCATCTCTCTTCTGGGCTACATGTGCCTCTTGGGGACGCGATCCTTTTGGCCACAAGGATCTGTTGCTGGAACTTTGTCTCCTTGGAAAGGAGAACATCACAGAAAGTGTTGGTGGGCTTGCGATGCCAGCAGTTGGGTTCAGTAGCGTGAAAAGGGGGAGTTTTGTGGGTTTTGGGCACTGCCATAACTAGGAGCCTGGGACAGTCACCTGAGGTTTGAGGGCATGACCACGAAGTGTTTGCTGTGTTTGCTTGGTTTCAGTGGGAGGTAGTGTGGGCAGTTACCATGGAGTGTGGATTGGTATTAATGTGTGTTGTGGAAATGTGACCCACAAGGCATAATGTATTTAGTGCTACTGACGTAAATAAAATGTAAACGTCACTGAAAAAAAATTATAATCCTAGCACAAAGTAACTTGAGGAAAAAGAATCAGCATGAGCTACATCAAGTTCAAAACAATGTCAAAAATATTAAAAGGGGAAAATGAATTCTGTATATTACATTTTATAAATCTTGCTATAATTTCTTATCAGTTCCATGAGGGTTTCTTTAGCGATTTCTTAAATTTTCTTCATAGATTATGCTTTCTAACAAACAAAGACTTTTCTTTCTTCCCAATTTGTACATATTTAATTTCCTTGTCTTGTCATATTATATGAGCTAAGATTTCAAGAATGTCATTGAAAAATAGTGATGAAAGGGAACCTTGATGCCTATTTCCAATTTTAGTGGGAAGGAGGCTAAGTATGATGTTATCTGGGTGTTTCAGATATATTCTTTATCAAGTGGAGGTGGTTGCCTTGTATTTCCAATTTTCTGAGTTTTTATTGATAACATATGAATGAGTGTTGAATTTTGTCTAATATTGTTCATATGTATTATGTGAATTTTTTCTAGTTTATTAATGTAATGATTTATAATAATTTTTAATTAATTTTTTATTTAAACTAAAAAATCTTTTTTATCGTTTATTTTTTATTTTACATGTTAATCCAAGTTCCCTCTCCCTCCCTCCTGTCAACCCTCCCTCCTTCCAACCCCTTACCATCTCTGCCCCCTCACATGCACCCTGACGAACCTCCCCTCCCATACCCCCACCCAATTCCACTTGTAGGGCAATGCCATCCAGGTGGGGTCATGTAAATCTGTCAAGTCATTTGAAGTAGGGACTAGGGCTTCTCTCCTGTCTCTAGGTTAAGGCAGTATCCCTCCATGGGAGATGTGTCCACAAGGACCTTTTGTGCACCAGGAATACATCCTGGCTCCACTGTCTGAGGTCCCTTAGACTGCTCAGTCCTTCTAGCTGAGACCCATATTCAGGGGGTCTGAGTCAGTCCCATGCTGGATTCCAAGCTATCAGTCTGGGGGCCCATTAGATCCTCCTTGTTCAGGTCAGCTGTCTCTATGTGTTTCTGAAACCTGATCTTTTCCTCTCCCTCTGCATCTGGATTCAAGTTCTACTCAGTGTTTAGTTGTGGGTGTTTGCTTCTGTTTCCAACAGATGATAGATGAGAGCTCCATGATGGTGGATAAGTTAGTTGTTGATCTCACTATTGGGGAAGGGCCTTTCCACGGTTGCTCAAATTGTTACTTGGCGGCAGTCTTGTACCTCTCCAGACCTTTCTTTAGGTTCAGTTTTCTCTTCAAACCAATAATGGCTCCCTCTTTTATATTCATTCTCTCTCTCTCTCTCTCTTTCTCTCTCTCTCTCTCTCTCTCTGGACCTCTCACTCTCTCTCAACCTCTCTTATCTGTCTTCTATTCCAACCTGATTCAATCTTCATAGTCGCACTTGCTTTCCTCTTGCCCCTTCTCTTTCTCCTAGTTCTCTCTCCATTCACAGCCCCCCCCCCACACTTCCAAACTTACAATGTGCTCTGAGGGACTTGTCCCTTCCCGCTTCTGCTCACAGGACCTTACATGAACCTCTCAGAATCCACCTTGTATCCTAGTTCCTCTGGTGGTGTGAATTATACGCTGGTGAGCCTTTCCTATAGGTTTAAAAACCATATATGAGAGAGTACACACCAGGTTCCACTTTTTGTGACTGGGTTACATCATTCAGGATGGTTTCTTCAAGTGACATCCACTTGCCTGTGAATTTCAAGATACCATTTTTTTTTCTGCTGAGTAGTATTCCATTGTGTAGATGTGCCGCATCTTCTTTATCCACTCTTCCGTTGAGGGGCTTCTAGGTTGCTTCCAAGTTCTTGCTATTACAAATAATGCTGCTATGGACATAGTTGAGCACATGTCTTTGTTGCATGGATGTGGATCATTTGTGTATATACCTAAGAGGGGGATTGCTGGGTCCTGTGGTAAACTAATTCCCATTTTCCTGAGGAACCGCCATACTGATCTCCAAATTGGCTGTATGACTTTGCACTCCCATCAGCAGTGGAGGAGTGTTCCCATTTCTCCACATCCTCTCCAGCCCAAGTGGTCATTTGGTTGGTCATTGTTGCTAATTTTAGCCATTCTGGCAGGAGTAAGATGGTATCTCAAAGTTGTTTTGATTTGCATTTCCCTGATAGCTAAGGATGTGGAGCATTTTCTTAAGTGTCTTTCAGCCTTTTTGATTTCCTCCATTGAGAATTCTTTCTTCAGTTCTGTACCCCATTTTTTAATAGGGTTATTTGGTGTTTTGTTGACTAGTTTCTTGAGTTCTTTGTATATTTTGGACATCAGCCCTTTGTCGGATATAGGATTAGTGAAAATCTTTTCCCAGTCAGTGGGCTGCCGTTTGGTCTTGTCAACTGTGTCCTTTGCCTTACAGAAGCTTCTAAGTTTGAAGAGGTCCCATTTATTAATTGTTTCTTTCAGTGTCTGTGCCCCTGGAGTTATGTTCAAGAAGTGGTCTCCTATACCAATCTGTTCAAGGGTACCTCCTACTTTCTCTTCTAAGAGGTTCAATGTGGCTGGATTGATGTTGAGGTCTTTGTTCCATTTGGACTTGAGTTTTGTGCATGGCGACAGACATGGGTCTATCTGCAGTCTCCTACACACTCTCATCCAATTGTGCCAGCACCATTTGTTGAAGATGCTGTCCTCGCCCCATTGTATTCTTTTAGCTGTTTTGTCGAAAATCAGGTGTTCATAGATGTGTGGGTTAATATCAGGATTTTCAATTCAATTCCATTGGTCTACCTGTCTATTTTTATGCCAATACCAGGCTGTTTTCAGGACTGTAGCTCTGTAGTAGAGCTTAAAGTCAGGAATGGTGATGCCTCCTGAAGTTATTTATTGTATAGGGTTGTTTTGGCTATCCAGGGTCTTTTATTTTTCCATATAAATTTGGTTATTATCCTTTCAAGGTCAGTGAAGAATTGTGGTGGGATTTTAATGGGGATTGCATTGAATCTGTAGATTGCTTTTGGCAAGATTGCCATTTTTACTATGTTTATTCTACCTATCCAAGAGCATGGGAGATCTTTCCATTTTCTGGTATCTTCTTTACTTTCTTTCTTTAGAGCATCAAAGTTCTTATTATATAGTTCTTTTACTTGTTTGGTAAGCATTACCGCAAGATACTTTATGTTGTTAGTGGCTATTATAAAGGATGATGTTTCTCTGATTTCTTTCTCTGTCTCTTTGTCGACTGAAAAAAGTAGGGCTACTGATTTTTTGAGTTTATCTTGTATCTTGCTAGTTTGCTGAAGATGGAGAGAGAGGGCAGCCTTGTCTTGTTCCTGATTTTAGAGGAATTGGCTTAATTTTCTCTCCATTGAGTTTGATGTTGGCTGTTGGTTTGCTGTATATAGCTCTTATTATGTTTAGGTATGTTCCTGTTATCCCTGATCTCTCCAAGACCATTATCATGAAAGGGTGTTGAATTTTGTCGAAGGTTTTTTCAGCATCTAGGGAGATAACCATATGGTTTTTCTTTTTCAGTTTGTTTATATGGTGTATTAAGTTGATAGATTTTCTTATATTAAACAATCCCTGCATTCCAGGAATGAAGCCTACTTGGTCATGGTGGATGATTTTTCTGATGTATTCTTGAATTTGGTTTGCCAGTATTTTATTGAGTATTTTTGCATCAATATTCATCAGGGATATTGGTCTGTAGTTTTCTTTCTTAGTTGTGTCTTTGTGAGGCTTGACTACCAAGGTTATTGTGGCCTCATGA